AATGATTTAGTTTTCTATTCTATAAATATTTTGTTTTTCCTCAGGTCACAGAGGACAGACACACAGCTCCACCTGTGTTTTTTTCCTAAATAACACCATCATGTACACACAATTACATTATCAGATTCTGTAAGCATGTCTCATTTTTTCCTTATGGGTCATAAAGTACCAGCAGTTTCATCACATAGTTGGTAAAACTGCAGCAAAGGTAACACTTCCTGAATAAAACAATGCTTACAGAGGAGGTAGAGCAGCACCTACAGTATTAAATAACTGAAACCACTTATTTTGAATAACTTTACAACAACTATATGGCTACATGTAATTAAAGGAACAGAGAACAAAAATCTTAAAACCATAAAATAGAGGTGGCTAAATTATTACTATTCCCAAGCACTATTCTAAGCAGTAATATCCAAAATACATGTGAATGATTAGGTGGGAAGAAACCCTGAAGACAGCATTGGTGATGAACACAGTTCTTGTGAGGGTTAATAAATTCTGTGATAAAAACACAGTTCTAGCAATTGCACACCAACTGTTTCAGTCTAGTGAGCAATCACGTGAGACTGTAATAAGGTATCAAATTCAGTTTCAGCTCCAAAACAGAACCAATAAAAACTAAAATCTAGTCCTCAAAAATTCCCTGGGTTTTTCAGTTTTTAAAATGATGGAATGCATTCTTACTCACATTGAAAAAGATCTCTATCCTATATGTAAATTTCACTGGTTTGTTAGAGTGACAGGAATACCAGTACTCCTTTCACATTATTTACTGAAACACAAAGCGTACTATATCTAACATAGCAACATTTCAATGCTATGAAATTTCTTTCAATTGCTTTCTTTTCTTCAACTGCTAAGTGAAACTGCAGCTAGAGAGTGCAAGAATTTATTTTCAACAGGTCACCCAGAGGCACTGTTGAGTTTCCATTCTTGGAGATTCCCAGAAGCCAGCTGGACCACAGCCTGAGCAGCCTGCTCTGTCAGAACCTGCTGTAAGCAGGACAGTGGATGAGGTGATTTCCAGACATCCCTTCCCACCTCAGCTGTCCTGTAAATCTCTTCCTCTATTAGCAAAATACTGCAGACATTGTTTTTCTGCATTTTCTGTTTTTACAGATAGTAATTTTTCTTGATGGAATGCAAGAATCCAGCCTGGGTTTTCAGGAGGTCTGATATGTATCAGTCTTTTGGCAAAAATGCAGTGGCAGCTTAAAAATGAAAATATGTCCATATTTAACAAGAAAAAAAAAAACAAACAAAAAAAACCCCAACTCATTTCCAAATTTGAAATGAGAACTTTATGAATGCCAAGTAGTGCATCTCCATGTGCTACCAATTTTTCTGATATATTCCATGGGGCCAGTAACAAAGACCTATTTTTCTACGTAAAAGAGGCAAAAAGTGAACAAGCTATTCCTCCGGAAAAAGTAGTACAAGATAATGTGAGGGTTTTTTTGTTTCTGTTTATAAGTTTCCTGTTGGTGGACAAAAACCTACTCCAGCTGTGAAAGCAAAAAAGTTAACTCTCCTATCAGAACACACTAAATTTTGTCTTCACAAACCTCACTGACATATTTGTTTCTAACATCAAAATAAAAACAACCAAGCTCCTCACAAACAAAACCAAACCACCAAAGCCAGTGTGGACTTCGATTTCTAGTTAAGGTTTTTCTTGCCTGCTATTTATTTACCGTGCTGGTTTGTTACCACAATTTTACACGTGCCATTTCCTGTTTTTCCAGCTAGTTTGCTGTCAGCTGCTTTTATAAAGTATACAGAAACTTCAGTGACACGCTTTTAATACAGAAAGAGATCAGCTAGACAACATGCACAATCTCCAGGGATCTCCTTCCTGTTTCCATAGGATTGGCCACGCTGTATGTGACGTGCCGAGGCACGGCGCCCATCTTACCGCTTTGGAGAAATCCAAGCAGCCCACTCCGCGCTCAAACGTGCCGAGGCCGATGACCTGCAGGGTTGCCAGGCTCACCGAGTCCCACACTCTAACATGGGGCTGCAGGGGCTGTGTGGGAAAGCAATGGGACAAACAGGTCAGGCAGGGAAAGCACCCTGGGCCGGGGCCGCGCTTTGAGAAGCGGCTGCTGCCTGAATTTCAAATTGCAGAGCAAAAGGAAGGATGACCTGTGCTGGTGATGCTGCTGGGTACCAGCCCCAAAGTCACAAGGGGAGAGTCAAGGCAATGCTGTTCCTTAGGGCTGGGCTACCAACGTGGAAGCGGGGCCATTGAGGCAGGAAAGTGGCATTTGGTAGTTGTGAAAATAACTGATTTGAGGAATTGAACAAATAATGGAAGAATCATCTTCCCTTTCAAACCCTAGACTAGTGATATTATACAATTGAAAATAACGATCAAATCTGGGCTTATATATGTAAATTAAGAAAAAAAGGAAAGAAACAAATGCTGGTGCACTGAGCCTCTTAACCATCACCAACCAGTCAATGAAAATGTCCATGGTTATATTTCATACAACTATTATCCCAAACTAGCTTAGAAACAATCACAAATTAACTTGGCTTAAGGACACCATTCATCATTGAAAGTGACAAATCTTTCTACTGACGGAAAAACAAACCAAACAGATCTAACAAGAGTCAGAAAATGCTCAGCGGAAATCATGTATTCAAAATCCCCCACATAAATTTCTTACAAAATATAAAAAAATTCAGTTGAACATCTGAAAAAGAGTTATATTTAACATGCTTCTACACTTCATAGCATCTGTCTTTCCCCCCCTTCCGTTTATAACTTCATGAAAAGAACCCAATTATTCAAATTCTGACAGAATTATGCCAAGAGGTGGAGAGCAGCATTTAAATATACTTGCTCTCAAATGAGCAAGTCTATAGGAAAGCTTGGCATATCTTCCATATATTCTCAAAGTTGGTTTCCTCTTCCATGAAGTCTTTTGCCTATACTGACCCACAGAACTGGGGATTTTCTCTCCCTTGGGAGAAGACATATTGAAAGTAATATGACAGAAATTATGTGGCGTTATAAATCAATTACAAGCTTCAAGTTTGTTTGCAGATAAAGGACTTTATGAGTTTCTGCTCTTTTTAATGTATGATTGAGTGTTTCATTGTTACTGTCTTTTGCTAGAGATACAGGGTGTTACCTGAGAAACTCAAAATATCTCAGTAAATGCAGTACATAATATAACTGCAGACAGAAGGTGATTAAAAAAACCCCAAACCAATTTTTCCTGATTTTCAAAACAAGATACTACTGCTCAACAGCTCTATTACTTACCCTTCCATCTTTATCCACTCCAGCTAACTGTCCTGTTGCAATTCTAATTTTGTCTGGATGAACTGCAAGACTAAGACAGACAGAAATATGACTTGCTTTTGCTGTCATAGGTCTTCAAAACTGAGAGGTGTTTTGTAAATTTTTTCATTTGTTTCTCAACAAAAGCCCATGAAGACACTTATGATCCTAAATCCCACTTCTAAGGAGACAATTTGAATGTTTCTCATCAGATATTTCATTTCACACTGTATTGTCTATTGGCTGACACACAACCAGGAAGGGCAGAAGAGTCACCTTCACATGTGCTCTGACACATCTCAGGTTTGCACTACACTGGGGCTCCACTGTAACAAAATCTACATTGTCCATAATGAACTTCCTACACATAGTTATGTGCCATATTTATAAACACTATGGTGCATTTTATGTCTAAACCTAGAGATGTCATGAACCTGGGAAAAAAAAGGCAGAAAAGCTGGCTGAGGGCTTGCCTGTGCACCCAGGAGTTGGGGATTACCACCACTTGAAATGAGTTACTGATGTGATTGTACTAATGAAGAGTGCTGCACTACTAGTGAAAGTAAAAATCTGCCCTTGCTTATCACAGTTTGCTTTGAAGCTGATGCAAAAAAGCAGATTTTAGAGAATACATCCTCCCAGTCCATGGGATTTTTTGATCTATATTCTTAATTGCTTTCTCTGTAAAATTGCAACGGTGAAGAAAGCCATTGAAAGAATAAAGGGGGCCAGGGCAAACCTGAAGAGGTCATAATGACAGAAAAGAAATTTACAATTCAGTTCAATTTTCTGAATGAAAGTGAAGAAAACAAACTGGCAGCATTCCTCCCAAAGGAAGCAATTACAAAGACAAGAGAGAAAAGAGCTTTAGATGTCAAATTTTCTCCAGTCAGGTACTGCACAGTAGAGTTTATGTTCACCATTACATTTTGTGCATTACTCTTCAGACTAACATAGCAAATTCTGTAACTGCCTTTGCAACCACGATGACACTGGCTTCAATTTTCCTTCTCTAATTTTTTTTTTGGCAAACATCTTTCTGATTTCCCTGACTCTCTTTATACTTGAATGATCCATCTTTTACAAAATGAGAGTATGACTGTTCAGTTTTTAACATGGTTTTCTAGTTCTCCTTCAAGATTGCACTTTCACCATACTGCCTGTAAACAACTGATTTAGAGTCAGGCTAATAACAATTTTTAATTTCTGGGACAACTATTTGGAATAATTTATGCAAAGATCCTTTCCTGGCACTTTTAGACTGTATACACATCTCCCTGTTTTACATTTAAACCAGACATCCTAAGCTAGCATGGACTGCTCTAACACCATTTGTTTGTGCTGTATTTACTACACTGAAATCTACTGGGACTGATTAAACAGGAAATAACTACAACTACAATGACATTAATTAGTTTGTACATAAAGCAGGAGAGGAAAAGAAGTATTTCTGCATTATTACCCACACTCACATGCAAATGTTGTATACTAACCATTTAACACAGTCCGTGTGACCCAAGTAGTGCCGCTGGGTTCTCTCCTCATAGTTAAATAGTACCACCACTGAGGCAATGAAATACACAATTTCTCCGGTAGGAAGGAGGTAAACATTGGCTCGACAGTCTCTTCCACGATACCCATATCTATATTTTTTTTAAGTCAAGGTTTTCACAGTCACTGAATGCCAGAAAAAAAAAACAACCAACTTTTTTTTCCCTTCAAGGATTCCTGGGATAATTCTCATGTCAGCAAATGGTCTTCAAGTTTTTCCCTATGGAACTACAGCACGATTTCACTCACACAGTTTAAAAAGAAAACAAAAACCCCCATACAAGTGGACTTTGGGAACCCAAATCCCCCAAGAAATGATGATCACTGATGTTAAAAACAAGATATGGTAGAAGTAAAGCAAACACAGTATTGCAGTTTTGTAAAAATTCTCCTGTGAAATTTCACTAGGTAGCAGCAGGACTTGCTATTCTAATTTAACATTTTCTACAGCAGCAGAGCTGTGTACCAGTAGGCTGGGCAGTAGAGTATTGCTTTCATTTGGCCTTTTAAAACAATTCCTCATGCCCTACAGAAAAAGGCAAGCTTCTGCACAGCAGCTGCCAAGTTCAGGAAAGATTTCTTTAGACTGTTTTAAAAGTATTTTTTAAACAAACCAAACTTAAAAGGAATTTACACAGTGAAAAATATTCTATCCAAATCTACCCAAAATACATAAAAGGCATGTTTTCTGTAGGAATATGTACAGCTCCTAATGACATTCAGAAGTTTTACGCACTGTGAAGGAGCCTTGGTTGGCACTGATCAAACGTTATTACAACTCATTATTTCTTTGGAACAGGTGCAGTTTTCTTCCTCTAGACTATTAATGTGGCTGCCTGCCTATATTTCAGCTCCCTGGGTCACCAGGAACAATTAACATCATAACTCAGACTTTAACATCTAACTATGTAGCCCCAAAAAATATTATTTTCCCGTTATGTTGTGCACTTTAGAGAGCTTTCCACTTCACTGCCAACTAATACATCTGCAATAGCAAGAAAAAGATGGGAAACACATTAAGCAACTTTAGCTAAAGGATTCCAGCTTCAGGTCCTGGCAAATAAGGTAAATAAAAGGAAGTGAAAGGCCCATGTGGAGAAAGCTGGATGGATGAAGATGGCCCTTTCTCATAAATGAAGGCAGGTGCAGTAGTTCAAGTTTGGGAATATCTAAACTGGTATTCCCTAATCTGATAGCCTGACCTCTATTCTCCATGACAAAAGGGCCACCTTTCTATCAAAAATAGCACCACACCCCCAAAAATGCCCCACTACCCTTCCTCTTCTGCAGTGCCACCACACCAGAGGAACACTTGTGAAATTAAACACATGCTGTAACTAAACAACAGTTCAAAGAAGGACACTGTATTCAGTTGTCAATTAAACCCCTTTGGAGTGTGGAAAATAAAACACATTTATATCTTGCTGTCTTCCGTTTAGTAGGGAAGAATACAATGGCTCCTCTGAAGCAGAGATTATTCACTGGCCTGCTAAGCAAATGATATCAAGAGAAATGCTCATACAACACAATGCTCATGTCAGAAAAAAAGGATGCCTCTGTTTCTCCTCCATTACTATTTACTTCCCCACTCAATTTTCCTCTTTCTTCTTCTTTTAGAAGCTCTGAGGGAACTAAAAGAAACCCCAGAATGGCCTTTTATAAAAAAATAACGAACAATAAACCAAACAACTGAACTTTCAAAAGCAATGGGCTACAAAATAGAGAAAATATTTTTTCTACCCTGAGGCTTTAAGAACACTAATTCAAATACCTTCTCAGAGGAGAGAGGAATATTTAGCTCATCTGCTGAACACAATAGGGAATGTATTGATAAGCATTTAGTAAGACTGACACCTTTGGACATTCACCCTAGAAAAGTATTAATGACTTGCAAAAACATGTCTTTCCACAGCAGAGGTCTTCCATGTTTAGCCAAGCTAGAGCTAAATACTTTGGCACTCACCATCAAGCCCTGACATTCGTGAAGCTGCGAGAAAAAAAAAATTACATTTTCTCAGTACCTTCCTTTATTTTACCCCTCCTACAAAATAAAGTACCAAAGAGTGGCTGCATTTTCTAGAAGAACTTTTTTTAAAAAACACATGAAAGAACCATCTGTTTTGTGGGACAATATTTTTTGCTTTCTTCATTCTCTATCCCAGATTATCCTGAGTGAAAAAAAGAGGGGTTGTTGCTCCACAGCATTTCTTTCCTTCTCCACACACGCAGAACAAAGCAGCACATACAGTCCAATAAAATTAATGAAATAATTGACTGTGTCTCTTCAGAACTTTGTGACACAACTTTGATGCTTGATTTCCACTGAATTTCAATGTTAATCTTTCAGTGACATGCATTATTAAATCAAGGAAATTGAGAGATAGTTGCCTTGATATCGTGACTACTCACCAATTACAAGGACTGTTTTTTCATAACATTCAGTATGTTTAAAAACGTTAAGTTTTGGGGGTTTTTTGTTTATTTGTTTGCTTTAACTGGCTAAAAATAGCTATAGCCCTCATGAAAAGTGATCTACCATACACGAGAAGCAGTAAATTTACCACTGTCTTTGATTATTCTTAGAAAGAAGAGCACTACTGCTAAAAATAATCTCATAAAACCGAGTCTGAAATACCGTCCTGAAATTGAGCTCCTATATACTGGGAAAAATAATCTACAAAGTCACTGTCAAAAGTTGCACTGACTGTGACCTCTGAAGCTACTAAATAAGCCAATTTTGCTATTACTAGGAATATCAGATATGCTTTAACCAGTTTTGAAGTCCAGTAGCAAAGACTGCACTACAAAGCAGGGATACTCAAACTAAATTATTCAATTTAAACGACACCACTCAGGAACCAGACACAGTCAAGAGCTCAGACTCCCCCATGAGCTGCTTTATCTTGCCAAGCAGCTTAGATATTTCTTCAAATGACAGCAATCTGCAAGGCAGACAAAAGCTAAGTTTCCCTAGATGAATCTACAGTACAGGGTATCAGGAGTTGAATAAACCTACAGGAAACATCTAAAAATGAGAACCCCCCGCAACCAACCAATAAACCAACAAAATCTACCCCAATAATTTGGCCATTGTTTCTTTGCAATTGGTCATAGTTGACTAGCATTTTCCAAAAAAATAATAAAAAAGGAAAACTCAGTTACAAAAAATCGTCTGGGAGGCAGGAGAATTAGAAGAATTAAAAACAAAGCCTATAAATGGAACTATTCAACACTCAGTTGAGCTTTCAGGTGCAAAACACTGACATTAGTAAAATACTCAGTGAATCATTGTCCCCATGCCTTTTTAATAAGGTGTACAGGGTTCAGTTTGCCATCATATTTGCAAGATACAGCTGCCTTGCAGATTTGTTCCCCTTGCTAAACCTAAGCAAAAAGCAGGTCTGCTGCTGCTGCATTTTCCAAACTGAAGAGTAATTTTGTTCAGAAGTGATATAGAGACCATTATTAGTTCTCATAAATTTTACTGCCTTTTCCTCATTTTCTTCACCTTTGCATCCAAAAGATATCCTACACTCATAAATATACTGGTCTGATTTGGGATGACATTTCCTTAAACAGATTCTAAAACATATGGACAGTCTCTTTCAACTAGATTTATTTCACTTTAATTAGACCTCAGCAGCCAACTGGTTTAACCCAACTTAAGGTTCTTGGACATTAAATGTGTCCACACTGGGATTTGCACCTACTTAACTGAGGGTGTGATTTCATGATCAGTTTTCATCAGTCCAAACTGCTCACTGATGCTGGAAAAGTGGAGCTGACGTTCCTCCAGTATGCCAGTTCCAGTCCTTGCATGTTTGTGAGGCGAATCAAAGTAATGTGTCGGTCCTGCTTGAAAATTAACTTCACAAAAAGAGATTACATTTCACCCAGATCACTGACTGACCCAATTCATTCCATAGTCATGAGTGCTAGCATCAGCAACCAAGAGCTGGGATGGTTGGAAAATTGGGTACCACAGTTTTACAAAGCATGAATAAGAGCTCTGTTTCCCTTCCAGTCAGACTTTAATCCGCAACTTTCTCCTTGACGTACGACAGTGTTATCATCAACATTCCTAAAAAATCTTCCTGCTTTTAGCAACATCAGAGCATCAAACCTCAGATTATTATAACTCAAGTGCTGTGTAGACATTTTACTGAAGTACTAAGAAACTTACACAATCACAGCTTACTGCAAAAATCTGCAGAGATGGGGGAGTGACAGGAAGTCTCAAACGTATGCAAAAACACATCTCTTAAAATGACCTTAATGTCTGATCTAGTGAACTTGGAGAATTGTCATTAGCCACACACCTACTCAGTTCTTCAAATGATAAATTCAGTGCATTTAATACAAAGTAGTTTCCAAGAAATTAACCACTTCACTTTGGAGCTGAAGTACAGAAGCAGTGCAAAGGATGGCTGCTTCTCCAATCCTTACTCCGTAGGAAAGGACAACAAACTCAACATCTTCCATAGTTCTAAGACTTCCTAAAAAGGATCAGAGATTGAAAACTAACTGTTACTGAAGCAAAGCCTACACTAATACAGTGGAAGGCAGAGGGGGACATTATTCCAAGTCTGTAACTCTTCAAAGATGCTTCCTTTTGCACTAAATATAAATCAGTTAATAAGTTAGAATTAGTCAACAGCAAAACAAAGAAAAAGTACAGGATATCTGTACCTATGTAGTCTGCCATGTAAAGTTGTACTATACAGGAATTACAAACCATTTCCATTGTTATATTAATTTGAACATTTTCCCTCACCTCTTAGTTTTTACATCTTAATAGACAAGAGGCAAGACTGGATTCTAAAAGACAAGACAAAAAGGGAACAGTGAGTAGTTATTGATATTAAGGATACACCCACTCCAGTTTTAACTTTTCAGGAGGCAGCTCTGTCCTAATATCATCATAGTTTTCTACGTCAGAAGGAATGAACATTGTGATTGGTCGACCTCGCATGAACATCTTGATATATTCTCCCTCTGTTGAAACAAAAAGGCAAATTAATCATGTGGCAAGTTTACACAAGAAGTAAGTACAAAAGAAACCAGTAATAAGTACAGAGATGCAAATCACACTGGTTATATAAAAATTATTTTTGAGATGCGAGCTTGGTAAAAGCCGAGATTTGATTTTTTTTTAAATAGAACATTAAACACACAGAACAAGCGTTAGTTGAATTTGTGATAGAACAGACTAAGCATGTAACATTTTAGACATGCAAGTTAAGTTATAAAGGCAAAATTCAAATTCAAATCTGAAACTGAATAAATAATTAGTCACAGAATTACAGGATAAGGTATTTCAGGTTGAAAGGATCTGGGAGGTGTCTAAATCCAACCTCTGCCTGGCCATGAGGCCAGACTAGGTTCCTCAGGCTTTTGCCTAATTCAGATTTGAAAAACTCCTATGTTGGAGATTGCACAACCTCTCCTGGCACCTGACAGCACCTCGGGGGCCTTTCCTACACAGCTTGCTTCCTGCAGCCCCTCTGTCCCTAGACTGTGCTCCTGCCAGAGACTCTTCTTTCCCATAGGTGCAGGACTTGGTTTTTGTCTCTGCTTAATTCTGTGAGGTTCCTGCAAGCCCATCTCTCCAGCACAGCCACTGAGCCCCCAATCTGCTGTCCCTGCAAACCTGAGAGGGCACAGTGTCACCTACCTCAGGCCATTGCTAGAGATGATGAGCAGGGCAGGGCCAGGCCAGCATCCTGCAGACTCCACGTGTCACCTACTGGCCACCAGGTACAGTATGACCCATTAACCACAGGCCCCCAAGGCCAACTAGCCAAGTGGTTCTTTCCCCCACCCAGCTGCCCACCTTTCCAAATCCTAGCAGCCAAGCTAAGACATGAGGACGCTGCAGGAAAAAGCATCAAGAGCTTTGCTGATTAATGTAATCAAGAATTATATATCATCACAACCTGAGTTATTAACCATTGTATCCTGAAGAATGGAAAAAAGTAAGAGCTCAGAATGACTCCAGCTGTGACAAAACACGTGTCTAACATCTCTGTGGGAATCTGAGCACTTCACAAGCCTTTAGGAGTCCCTTTTCAAGGAAAGCGAGCTTACCTACCACCAGGGAAAATTACAGTCCCATTTCAAAAAGCACTGATGACAAAGAGCCAAATATTCACTAAGTTTGCATCAATGAAGAAACCTTTTATTGCTCTTCAACTTCATTAGTAATTAATATCTATTTTCAGTATAAATATTAACCAATGTAATAAAATATTCCGCTGTGAATTTGGAACACTGACACTTTTTTATGAGTGGAGATTTGAAAATCGTAGCAGACACAGGGAACTCAGAGTTCAAGCCAAAATCTGGATAGCTGAGTAGATGTGGAGTAGAAGAATAGCTGTAAATTAGCAATAGGGTATTAAGAAATCTCTAATCACGTTTGATGCAACAAACACTGAGCTCTAAAATTAAGATTTTTAAACAATTACTTTAATACTTGTTTAAGAAACAAACATGAAACATACTTCCCTACAATCCTCAAGGAATACTTGGAAAGATTTCCCAATTAAGCATAAGATTAATACTCAGACTGCATGATTGTGCAATCTATGTTTGGCCTTCCCTAAAATATCTGAAGTCGAAATTATGAGAAACTCAAACTTATTTCCTCAGAATCATAGCTTAACAGCTCAAGTCAAACTTGGAGATCTAAAGATCTAAAAAGGCAAAAGAAACCAGGTCAATAATCGTAATAACTGAACAATTTAAAACTAACATATACATAAAGCTTTTTCTTATTTAGCATATTTGTACAAGAAAAGTTGAGCTCTGGAAGTCTAGTATGAAAGGAACAAATATAAGAAAAGGATGAAAAACAGTTGTCTTTCTTCTTTCCAAGAACAAACATGGATGCTTTGAACAAAAAGCCCATGAGTCTCTCCACTGTAGAAACAGTAGAAAACCTGTCTCAGATAAAATAAGAAAGAACAAAGAAAATCACTCCCTGGTAGCTAAACTGGACACGACAGGTATTTTACCATATGTGCATTGCTTAACTGCATTGCTAAGAAAACCTAAGGGTTGGAGCTGTCACTAGTTTGACATAAATGTTTAGATAATCATTCCAAACTAGTACCATGTCTCATTTATCCACCAATATATTTTTTATAGTATGTATATTCAGAGATAAAGTAACACTGGCCAAACCCAACAGTAATGTATTAACAATGACCTTTCTATTAAAATCTGGCACCCACAGTCTTATTAATTAAAGCCTGAGGGTATTTACAAAATACAGACTATTGTTAAACCATAAATTCTTGATTTAACACCGAGCTTGACACTGCTGGTTCCACTAGATCCATGCAAAATGACACCACAAATTTAGGATCAAATTTCTCATTGTTGCTTAGAACAGTGGAGACAACCTGCAACTGAAATTCTTATGGATGGAGGCAGTTGCACCTGTTGGACTCTGCAGACGAGAGACATGAAGAGTCCAAGAGGAATTCAGTCAAGTCTCTGAGTCAAGAGCAGAAGAGGCTCTCCTGGAGCTCAGGGAAAAGAATATCTATAGGGCTTTCAGACACAAATTAGCTCTCTGAAGTTTCCCATTAAAGAAAGAACTTTTTTTTTACCTTTATTAACCAGCTGTATTTACTCAAGATTACCTTTGAAGATACATACTTAAAACACTTAACAGTTTTACCTAGCCTGTTAGAAAGACATGGACTAGGTAAAACTTGATTAAGCCTCTCCCTAAAGAAGACGGATTAGAAAAAGAGACAACCCACTGAAAGTTTGATTTTTTTTGTTTAAGACTGTAAATTTCCTTTTGTTAGAATAACCAGTAGGGCAGATATAACATTAATGTAAAAATCTTTTGAAATACTAGAGGGGATGACAGCGTACCAACACCATTCTCAAACAGCAATTAATTGCCTGAGGCCAAATTCTTGTATTGCAACTTAAGAAAATCAGTGATTTAACTCTTTGATATCATACTTCTCAACTGAATGATCAAAAGCATGATCAAGAAGACTACATTCCTTTCCTGCATCCTCACTATTTTCTAATACAAAGGAGCATGTCTAAACTTTTATTTCCTTCTTTTGGGAATAAAGAGCCTTGGTCACATTTTAACAGATATGTATGTAATGGATGATAAGGGAGAACAAGTCAAAACTTCTAAAGATAGTACATAAAAAACTCACCAAACCCAACCAACAAAAAATGCTTGATTTTTTGATTACAATTCTGGTATCTACCAGCCTGAAAACACAAGGTGTGAAAGTAAAAATCTTTTTTTCCATATAAAGAGATGTTCAGATCCCACTATCCACTGAGCAGAAGCATCTGGGGAAGGTGGGGCTGGGGCACGTGTGTGGAAAGGGCCAGGAAGGAATACCATAAGAACCCTTGGCACTTGCTAAATTAATTAATCTGCAACTGCAGACATCCTACAAATCCTTACAAATATGAATCAAACCAACTGAAAAGCACAGTTGAAGCTCTGCAGGAGCACACCCAGGTGCCATGGATTATCCACACCACGCAAAAAGTAACAGTTCAGAGTTGCTACAAAAGGTAGCATCAAGTGGCTGTGGCACTCTGGGCTTCAAAGGCCAGCTCTTCACTGGGAACAGCTGTAGCTGCTTTTTTGTGCAGCTTTGAGCTCAAATTCACAGCCCTTGCCAAACTCTGCTTGGCTCTGTGATATTTCACCTCTGGAGCCTCAACAATCTCTTTACACAAGTGCCAGGGAACACAGGATCAGCACTCCCAATTTATGCTCCCAGGACTGGCTCAGGCTTATTAGCCTCACAAGGCAAACCCTCTGGGTGTGCTGGACCTAAGCAGACTCCGTGCAGGTCTTGGCTCTCCGTGGGTTCCCCAGAGGTTTGGTGAAATTGCTGACTTGGCCCCTAAGATGCAGAAACACTTAACTGGAGTAAAATGTGACCCCAGTCTGCTGAAGTGACAGGAAACACTGCTCAGAAGGAGAGACCAAGAGAGAAGCCAGGACATGGTGAGGGTGCATGTAAAGGTAGTCTTGAACACTGTTCAGGCATGTGGCTTTGCAAATTAATGCAAATTAACGTGATGAGCTGGTGCAACATCATGGCTTGGCTCAGCTCAGCCTAGTCCAGCCTGACAGATACCCAACATGTCCCCCCAGTGCCCTCTCACTGCTTGCATTGATGTTTTTTACTGTGCAGAGCACTGTAGCACCTGCATTGGAGAACAGAGCCTTGGCTGTCACTGAGAGAGACACAAGCACACTCTGCTGATTTCAGAACAGCATCCAAAAGCCTCCTCCTGTTACTAGTTGTGAACTTCTCAACTTCCAGATGACACTAACACAAGGCCAGGTTGTTTTCTTTGTGTGTGTGTGACAGCATGGCTGCTCATTTCAGCACAGGTCTGCCCATCTGCTGTCAGAAAATGAACTGAGTGAGCATGAAAACAGCAAACCTCCCAGTGTTCATATTCTGAAAAAATAAAAATATCCAGCTATTTAAATCTCTATTTACATAATAGGGGTTTAGTCCGTCTCTACAGCACAACAAAACTTACCCTTTATAGTTATGAGTGCATGTAGTATTACAGAGGAGAACCTACTAGGGTTTTGATGCATTAACACTTTCTGCAAGGCCTCTATCTCCATTAGAATTACTTCTGATACATCCTGGGACTGCATATGTGTTTTCAAAATGAGTGAGTGGTTCAATCTTCATACAATTAAATGCCATATTATAGCCTTTTCCCCTACCATTTAATTCTGGCAAACACCTGTTTATAGCTAGAATATTGCTAGCAACTCCTGAACGAATAATTTTTTTTTTTCATACTATTCCAGCCTCGGGAACACCTAGGTCTTACTGT